ATGGGCTTTCAGGCACTTGCATGCGTTTTTGATGCGTTTTTGCGTTTTGCATGCGTTTTTTATGCGTTCCAGAGCAGATCCAGAGCAGGTAAAATAGGGCTTGCCGCAGTTTTTTCACCTGCTCTGGATCTGCTCTGCATCTGCAAGCTGCGATGTGAACTGGAGCTCAAAATACCATAGGAATACATTGGACGCAGTCTTGATCCGGTCTGCACCTGCTCTGCTCTGGATCTGCTCCGCGCTTGGTGTGAACAAGCCCTTCAGGAATGACGAGCAGGGAGAATGCGTTTGGGTGAAATTATGAACTGCAACAGTACTACCCATGTAAAATGTACAGTAACTGCCCAGACTCCTTGTGTCAATCAATGGGCAAAGGTTCTAATGGGTGGGAAAGCCAGAGACACACAACTGCAATAGATCCATGGCCAAGCTGAGTTGCTTTCTATATGTAGCCAACGGGGAAAGTCATAAGCCAGAATACTGGCCTGTGTTGATGGGCTTTGGGCTTCAGTATGACACTCTTCTGAGATTATTCAAAATACACTGAATGGTCAACTTGACCTACAATTAACCTCCTCCTGACCTGCATTTCACCTACTCAAGTGGGTTTTGCACTCCCATACACTTGTATGGGATTTCAAAACCCTTGCAAGTGCTCAAAAGCCTATCAACACAGACCTTTCAAATGGCTTAGAGGAAGCTTGCACTATAGTGACCTCACTCTGACTTAGTTGTCCCTCTTCTTGGTGTGATATACAGAACTCTATTAAAAAAAAAAATTATATTCAACTATCAAAAGTGCCTTTTGCCTGGACTTCATATTTAAAGAATGAATCCACTTTTAATGCACACACCTTCACTTGTCCCCCTTTACTTACCCAGCAGTTTCATCATAGGCTATACTTACCTGTACCTCACTCCTGCAAAATCTTTAGTATGCTGATAATGCCTAACATTTCTTCCCAAATCCTAAAAAATGTCTGCATAGCACTACTTCCACCAAGGTCTCCATTAACTTTTTTGTTATTCTGCGCATTCTTTTCTAGTCTTTACAATTAAGAATGCATGTCAACTACAAATACACTTACTTTATTTCCCTTATTTTATCTTATACACTAAATCTCTGCAGGATAAAAACAGTATTCTGCTCCATGACCTTCCCTGTATCTGTAGACAGAATGAGGTTCACAACCAATTTAGAGCTAAACTGATATTGATAGCTTTATTTCTAATGCCCATTGCTACTCATTTATTTTTCCCTGAAAACATGACTATCATTTTTTTTTCTAACTGACAATTTCCTGCAAATACAGTATATATAAATATATACACTATATTGCCAAAAGTATTGGGACACCCCTCCAAATCATTGGATTCAAGTGTTCCGTGAAATTTCCTTGCTACTAAATATTCCACGGTCAGCTGTTAGTGGTATTATAACAAAGTGGAAGCAACTGGGAACAACAGCAACTCAGCCACGAAGGGGTAGGCCATGTAAAATGACAGAGCGTGGTCAGCGCATGCTGAAGTGCGCAGTGCGCAGAAGTCACCAACTGTCTGCAGAGTCAATAGCTACAGACCTCCAAACTTTGTGTGGCCTTCAGATTGGCACAACAACAGTGTGTAGAGAGCTTCATGGAATGGCTTTCCATGGCCGAGCAGCTGCATCCAAGCATTATATCACCAAGTGCAATGCAAAGAGTTGGCTGCAGTGGTGTAAAGCACTCCGCCACTGGACTCTAGAGAAGTGGAGACGTGTTCTCTGGAGTGACAAATCACGATTCTCTGTCTGGCAATCCGATGGACATGTCTGGGTTTTTGGCAGTTGCCAGGAGAACGGTATTTGCATGACTGCATTTTGCCAAGTGTAAAGTTTGGTGTAGGGGGGATTATGGTGTGGGGTTGTTTTTCAGGGGTTGGGCTTGGCCCCTAAGTTCCAGTGAAGGGAACTCTTAAGGCATCAGCATACAAAAATATTTTGGACATTTTCATGCTCCCAACTTTGTGGGAACAATTTGGGGATGGCCCCCTCCTGTTCCAACATGACTGTGCACCAGTGCACAAAGCAACGTCCATAAAGACATGGATGAGCCAGTTTGGGGTGGAGGAACTTGACTGGCCTGCATAGAGTCCTGACCTCACCCCAATAGAACACCTTTGGGATGAATTGGAGCAGAGACTGCGAGCCAGGCCTTCTCGTCCAACATCAGTACCTTACCTGGCAAATGCGCTTCTGGAAGAATGTTCAAACATTCCCATAGACACACTCCTAAACCTTGTGGACAGCCTTCCCAGAAGAGTTGAAGCTGTTATAGCTGCAAAGGGTGGGCCAACTCAATATTGAACCCTATGGATTAAGACTGGGATGCCATTAACCTCTTGCCGTCCGCCCGTAGTAAAAAAACACTCTCTAAGGTGACTGTTGCTAGCACTCTTGCCATCTCAGGTGGAAAAAGTATTTCTGGTTCCAATTTCATCTAATTTTCTTGATTGTACACACAGTAACAACACACCTATTACATAGCATCATTCTCCATTTCAAACCCAAGTCTCACCTCTTTTGTCATATGAACTGAAACTACCTCACAAAAACCCTATTTATTATATATGATGCTGGGGAATCCCTTGCAACACTTGACCACATGTGGTAGAGTTCGGAAAGATAATCCTGCATTTCACTGTGCAGTAATAGAATGGTTGTCACCTTGTAACTAGTTACCAAGAAGATAACATTCCGGTGATACCTACTAAAATACTCATGAAGGTCCTCTCTAGCATGATTTCCTGCATGCAGGCTGTGCTGGAAAATGGTTTTATTATGCTGGATTGTGCTAACATAGACCCCGAAGAGTGAAAACTTTTGTTTTGTATTTTGTGCAACAGTGACAAATAAACATGGGTATGAAACCCTTAAATACACTTTGGCATCTGAAAAACCTCTATGAGAGCTCTACATTTGAAGCTGATCCCTACAGTCGATGAAGGTATGAGAAGGGCAAAAGCTAATATCACTCTGCTGATTCCTGATGAAAAGCAAGGTTTCTTGTCATGAATTGTGTGTACATTGAGCTAAAGTGTGATAGATATTAAGAACTGTGAGAAGTGTGTCACCCAGTATTTAAATGGGCAGTGTACCATTTTGTTGAATCTTCAGTATGCAGGACTTGGTCACTGGTGCAAGCTAATGCAACGCATTAACAGGCTCAACAGCAGGAAACGTATAGACAGTTGGGACAGTTGCAAGCACTGATGCTTAGGTCACTGCTTTGGTGCAGGCCATTGAGACTTAGTTCGCCCAGTTAGCAGAGAGACCGGTAGGCCTTAGCAGAAGAGATGTAGCAGCTGCAAGCCTAGACTGGTGCTTTTTGCACCATTGATGTCAGGAGTGTCATGATTCTTGGAATGTGACCCCATAAGTTAGCAGGTGGCACGAGATCCCCCAGGGCACGGGGTCTAAGCACCAGCCGGTGTTCTGCCTGGGACCCCCTCACAGAAGTTTGGACTTTGCTGCCTCCTTACGCCAAGTCGTGAGACCTGTGTTGCATGGATGGGAGCTCGGAAACAATGTTGCTCAAGCAACCCGAAGATGGTGTGAGCAAGATTTAAATAGGGAGAGATAGAACGCAGGACGGGAAGTAGTAGGAAGGAAGATACCATTAGGTGAAGCGGGTGATACCCATAGCTGCTCAGTGCAGCAAGAGCATAGCACATGCTTGTAGAACCGTAGGTTCCAGCAAACCCACAGCACCAAAAAGGTAATAACAAATGCAAAGCAGTGAAGTACAGATCAGCTGTGCAGCTGATCTGTGACAAGGAGACCCCCAAAAGATGTACTTTGATTGGACCTCAGATGATGCCCTGGATTTATGCCGCGAGCGACCAAGTTAAAAGGTAGCTGCAGCCATAAATCATGAAAAGTGCACCAAAGACCACTTTCTGAGGGCTCTACCTCCATATCTGAGAAGGTAGGTGAGCTAAATCAACCCAAAATTGGCAGATGAACTGCCATGAAGGACCTCTTGGCTTAATATACAATTTTGAGATCTTTAACAGTGAAGAGGTTATCTCCCCAGAAAGGCGATGCACTGAGAGGTCTGCAAGTATGGTCTGAAGGTAGCCTCCTGTTTAATGACAGTTCAGCTTCACCAGGTCATTTGGGGACGCTGATCTATCATTACAACTGGGCGAAGCCAGCCATGAGATCACCAGCCATGAGATCACGGCTGGCTCCGCCCAGCTGTCATTTGCGGGGAGAAAGGCCAGCCTTAGGCCAGCCAATCGCCCCGCTTCGGTTAACACTTCGGCTCAGCTGAGCCTCTCGGCCGCCTTCGGCTGCTGTACAATAGCCCGTATAGCAGCCCTTCGGTTCGACTGAGCTGAAGGCTCCGGCGGTCGAAGCTGCGGCTGGATCCTTCATCTCCTTTGTGAATAGCCCCCTTAGAAGCATTGTATGTTAATGAGAAGAAGCTCAGTCTGATCCTCAGTTTGATCCTCTACTTTCACTTTCAAACTACTCAGAATAGCCTGAAATCTGAGTAGTCACCAAGGAAACATTTAAGAGGTAAGAGGATTTTTTTCCTATGATGTGAGAATGGGAACACAAAACAAACATATAGTGGGGTTTTGTCAAACATGACTTCTATAGCACAGGCTCAGCCATAATGGCCATCTGAGTCCACAATTGCAGACACTTTCTTCTGTACTTCTAGTCTGTACTCTATCGCTTGTAGGCTCCAACAAAACGGCCACTGAGCTCCACAGCGGACACTTCCTGCCTACAATGTGAGTTGAATCTCTGCTCTAGTGATGTAGAATAACACTAGCGGTCATGTGACCATATGTTACTCTTGGCTACAGGAAGCATCTATTGAGGGCATACGCCGCAGGGCCACTGTTGCCGCTCACCTGTGTCCCCTCAGTCAGCGGATTTCAGAAGCTCTGACTACAAACTGTTTTGAAGTACAAGTGGCTCCTTATTTGTTTTTTGGAGTATCATATGAGTGTGCTCAGGAGTCAGGAACGAGGCTTGGTTTTATCCAGATCGAGGCTTGGCTCCAGCTGTCAGATTGAGGCTTGGCTGCTGCAAAGTGACTGGACGGTGGAGCAGACTGAGCCTGAAGCTGAACGGGGTGATGAACCTGCTTGTTTTCCCCCCTATCTCTGTGCAGTGACGAGCAGAGGAACTTGAAAACAGGGGAGGTACAGTGCTGCCTATACTATGGTGGTGACCGGTGTATTCCCAACACCTCTATGCTTAATATGTTTAGTTATCTGCTGACACTGTGTAGGGGGATTTCCTGGAGCAGCTGTGCATAGTGACCAATCAGCTTCTGTCTTCAGCTGGTCTTGTTAAGCTTTGAAAATGAAAGCTAGAAGCTGATTGGTTGCCAGGTACAGCTGCTGCAGATTCCGTCTGCTTCAGTCCTTGATTTGTATTGTAACTGTAATGTCCTCCTTATATTGTAAAGTGCTGCGCAAACTGTTGGCACTATATAAATCCTGTATAATAATAGTAAATTCCCCTCTGTGTGTGTATAGAGTGGTGGAGTCTGTGACTGCAAAACAGAGGGTGACACTGTGCCGGTTGTCACTGGCTCACTTCCTGGGAGGTATTCCGGAACCTATCAATATACAAAGTGGCTATTGGACAGCACCCGGGTGCTGCCACCATTGGAGGGGTGACACCAAAATGACTAACAGTCATTTTGGTGTCACCCCCTATGAAATGTCAGGCATTCGGTCACGGACCGGGAGCCCAACAGTGTCAGGAGAGAGGAGGGGACCCGGCGGCATACCTTATCCCGCCGGGTGAACGTCCCCTCCTCTCTCTGCCAGCCTCCACCACAAAGATGGCTGCCGGCAGGCGTTAAAAAGACCACCGCGCATGCGCGATGACGTCATCGCACACGCGGCAATGTCACGCGCAAGCGCGATGACGTCACGGCTGGATGTCACCCGGTTGACACCAGCCTTGGGATGCCCCTGCTTCACTCCTCCCTCCTTTTTTTTTTAAAGAACTCCAGATTTGCAAAATGTGTTAACCCTTGCAGTGGGGCAACCCTCGCATTGCAAGGGTCAACTGCTTGTTTTTCTCTAGGGAACGGAATACAGAAGATATACTCGCCTGATCTTCGGTCCTGCGGCGGTGAAAGCATACCTCTTTCCCCCCTTTGCTCCAGCTGTGGTATGTCCCTCGGTGCCCTCATGTCTAATGCAATTGAACTGGAGAGGCTGCGAGGATCAGTCTAGCAGCCAGGTGGGATGGATGATCAGGTAAGTATATTTTCTTTGAGCCCCTAGAGAAAATCAAGTGGTTAACTCTTGCTGTGAGGGGGTAGAATTCCTCTTAAATCTTTTGTGTAGCGTTGACTTCAATTCACATACATACCATCTCAGCGAATCCAGTGTTGTCCCTCTGTGATCCACTGTTCAGGGGGCACAGCCTGTTGCCTGTTCTGCCTTCTTGGTGCCCCTAAAGGAGCTGGCTACCTCTTTTGGGTTCTTGCAGTCAATACTGTGCACCTAGTGCTCTAGCTGGAAATTTGGTTTACATTGTGCCATAGTAACGGCAACGTAGGTGCTGCCAGTCCTGCGGTGCCTATGTTGCCATTACTATGGTCCTATGCAAACCGAAACATACACACACAGTGTTGTAGAGGGGAATCATTTGGTTTAAATGACATGGTTCCCACTGGAGAGCTGGGTGTGCATATGCAGGATTGGAAGTGCTTGCGTTGCCATATTAGCAGGCAAACCAAATAATGCCTTTGGCAAATGCGCCCCCAATCCCGTGCATGCACAGAGCACTCTTAAAGTAGAACTATGAGATGAGTGATTTCCACTCACCTCATAGTTCTAGCCGACCTGTGACAATGAGACTGTCACAGGTCGGCTGAGTAGATCGGGAGGTGAGCGTACACATACCGGCGTTAGCTCACCTCTCGATCCTGTCACGGCTCTCTGCTGTGACAGGGGAGGGGCTGGATTCCCCGCTCCGATCCGCCAGTGATGACTGGCGGAACAGACGGGGAGGGGGCGTGTACAGCTGGCTCTGCCTCTAGATAGGCAGAGCCAGCTGTCACTCACGCAGCTGGGCGGATCTCGACATCGATCTCAGGATCCGCTCCGGCTGCGGCGTCTCGCGGTATACTGAGCTTAGGGTAACGGGAGGACGCTAGTTTGTGTCCTCCCGTTACCCTAAGGAGAACTATGGGGAAAAGTCCTGACCCCATAGTTCTCCTTTAACAGAGGCATATTTTGTTTGTGTTGCCATAGTAACGACCATGCAAACATTGGGTCCGTGTGCCCATGCGTGAGATTTGTACTAACCAATGTCTTAAGAAGCAAAGGACAACCAAGAAGAAAAATGGCTCTTGTAAAAATGATTTGTAATTTGGACATCGGAGGGTGTAAAGTGTGCACCCAGTATTTGGTTTACATGTTGCCATAGTAACGGCATCTTAAACGCTGCCAATCCCACGCATGTGTATTCAGCGTTGTTGTGGATAGTTATTTGGTTTATATGTTGCTGCTATGTGTAAACCAAATTATTCCCTCCTAGAACACTAGGCGCACATGTAGGTAGTGAAGCTAGCACTTGGGGAACCTATTGTTTACATATTGCCGTAGTATTGGCAATGTAAGCTTTGCAAATCTAGTACTAGGTGCGCATATGTGAGATTTGTACTAGGTGATGTAATTCTCTCCTAGCTGAGAAATGAGGAAGCATGTGTCAACCATTGTATTGTGATTGTAATGTCTTCCTTATATTGTAAAGGGCTGCGCATACTGTTGGCGCTATATAAATCCTGTATAATAATAACCAAGAAGGAAAAAGTAACACAATGGTACATAATGCATCACACCACTCCTACACAAGACACCTATGCTGCACAGAACACGTGCGGGCTGGTGTGAAGAAGCCATTACTGTCTGCTGACAACAGACAAGAAGTGAGGGAAACTCTGCAACAGGGACACAAACAGGAATGAAAATCTGACACGGGTTCTAACCAATAAAAAAAAAGTATGTGAAAATGTAGTAAAGTGTTAATATTGGGGATTTTCTCTTACTTCCTGCCTGGTGAAACCATTGTGATCAGGACAGTTAGGGAGGGAAAATCCCTCTATTGGAGCCATTGATAGCAGTCAAAAATGTGACGGGATTCTTATCCTTCCTCATTGTATCCAAAACCAAAACAAAATGTGTTGTACTGAGTAACCTTTTGATCTGATAAAGAGGAATGTCTGTCAAAATAGGTAGTGGTTTATTTCCGTGACTGTTTTATTATTTGCAGAAGTAGATTTATGTTCTGTATACAAGAGAAAGGAACAAATGGATAAAGACATAACATTATTAATTTGTGTCTTGCTCTCTTTCTAGGATGGCGTTTGCGGTGCAGGAGAAGCACTATGCCCCATCGTTACTAAGTTTTTTTATCTATAATCCAAAGTTTGGCCCCAGAGAAGGAGAGGTAATAATATATTAATATCGTTTTAATCTTTCAGTAGCCTAGCCAAACAGCTAAACACACAGTTGAAACATACGCTGGCATTCACAAGTTCGGAGTTTCCTGCCAGCCCCCCACCACCCAAACAAATATTGTGGCAAAATAAATCTCTAAAAAATAAAGATGTTGCAAGAAATGATGTAAAAAATACTCAGTGCGGTCCTTAGTTGCCTTTCCCGCTGCCTCCTGCAATAGCTGGGCACTTGAGATCCAGCCCATTGCACAAGTGTATTCTTGTGGAATTTCAAGTGCCAAGCAAGTACGGTGACATCACCCATGTCTCCAGGAGGCTTTGGAAGACGGGACAAAGGTGAGTATTTTTTTATATATATATTTTTTTAACAGCTTTATTTTTGAGGTGTGTGGTTTTTTTGTTTTTTTTTGGGGGGGGGTGTTTGACACAAACTTTGGTGGTGGGGGTACTGGCATGAAAGATGACCTTCCATTTTTATGGATGGTCTGCTTTAAATTGTTTTAGGCAAAATGTTTGCTCTGATTTAGCCCTCCCCAGCAGCATTGTCTTCCCATTCTTTTGCTTGCTCGCTTCTCACTCTGCAACCAGGAGTGAAGAAAATCCCTGTGTAAGCTATGCATGGCCAGAGTTTTAAGTTTCACAAGGTTATGGCTTCATGGGACAGTGCTGATTGGCCTAGTACTATCACATACTCCTTCATACCTGCAATTATTAGGTATTTCCTTCAGCTCTTGCTACAGAATAAGGATGTCAGCTGACCACAGAAAAGCTTAGTAGATCTTGAGGTGGGTTGGCGGAATAAAGCACACCTACTGCTTGAAATTACTGCTTTATAATTTATTATTTACATGACTGCAATGACTTTTCAAATCGGTTAAAAAAAACAACTTGTAATGTGCTAGTATGCACAGCATGTTAGCACACTATGGCAAGTGTAACGACTGAAATGATTCCCACTAATGATGCACTTCTGCAATTCCATCTTCTCTCTGGTCTTCTTCCGGGTTTTGAGTGTTCTACCATTTGATTCGCTAGGCCGTGATAATGTTTCCCCTGTGCATGGGAGTTACTTCATCTCAGCATGCCAGGACTGTATGCCGAGCACTGGTCTATGGACATTGGGTCCTCAACTTATCTGGCCAGTAAGTAAGTTAGTAATGGTGAAAGCCGCAGAGAGCCTATAGACGATACTGGTTACTAGTCCTTTGTCCCCTGCCTGCCCTTTTTTAGCACTGGACTTTCCTTTTTAGTATTTCTGATTCTACTTTAGATACCCTTTTATCATTAAAGTGTTTGTAAAGGCAAAGCTTTTTTATCATTAGTTTTGGATAGCGGAGAAAGGTTAGACCCTCTAGAAAAATGTTATTGCTGTCTTAGTCCCTGCTGGGGAGATTATCACTCATTTGTCCTGGTAACCATTGTCACGGAAAAAAAGTGAGAGGAAATCCAACATTTTAGAGGGTAAATTACCCGATGGGGAAAAATGGTCCCGCAACAATTCTCAGTGGGGACATTGCCCAGCTTTGGTGAGATTTCCTTTCATTTCCTGTTGTGTGTTCAGGACACACAGTGAAAGGAAATCTTCCCAATGGGACACCCAGAGCAGAAGAGAAGTTGTTAGGGGTTTTAACACTTCAATAAAAAAAAATTTGGATATACATACACTTTCATTTTTTACATTTCCATTTTTAGGGGACTTTGTTTATTAACACACACTTAACACAAAAAAACAAAATCGCACCATTGCTTAAAATGGAACTGAACTCTGAAAGCTGTGCCCGAAAAGTCCAGCAGTTTATTCCTGCCCCATTTCACTGTCAGACCGGAATCCCATAGTAATAAATTGGAGGGTGCTGAATGACATGCGGAGGGTACCGCATAAATCCAAAATGTAGAAGTACACCTAGGTCCAATGCATCAATCTGTCCTTTTATTGACGTCAGATACACATGGCATCAGGTACAAAGCAAAATATCAGGCAGGACACAAAGGACTAATCACCAGTATTATCTATGGTCCCCCTGCAGCTGATCTTACCCTATATATGACTTACCATGCCTTGTTCTGTACTATGTCTTTGTGTGTGTGGTGGTGCTCCTCTTGTTAAAGGCAGGGCTTTGCCGCCTAATGTCGGAGCCTCCAGAAAGGAGAACAGTGAGCAGCACTGTAGTGACATCACCAAATCTTACTCCAGATCTCCCAAGACTAGCAGTCAAATGCAATCGTGCCTTAGATCTCACATTGCAGATATACGACTATGAGAGGTACAATGCACAGGCACCCTCACATACCAGGAAGTGCACTGCTATTTTTCTCGAAAGTAGTTCAAAAGACAGGGGTGCTGCTTATACACAAATAATAGGTCTATATTTTCCCTATATCATAGAAAATCTTTACTTTTTGAGTTTAGCTAATCCCGCACTACATTAAAGCGGTCATTTACTGATGGTTTTGTACTGCAAAGATTGACTCCCGGGTTCTGTCATGTTGGGGATGATATTGGGTGGCAGGGTGGGTTATCTGCAATAGTCACTGACTGCAAGCCCTGCATTGCATTCAGCTAGAGTTCTTAAACTGTAACAGTAGTTGGTGGATTTTTGCTTTGAAATGATAGTTTTTGTAAAGTTTTTAATAGGCTTTATTTTTTTTCACAAACTAAAACTTTATATATATATATATACTTTCTTGGCTACAGGTAGTGCAATAATAAGAACAACATAGTGTAATAAAGCAGTAGCAAGAGCAGTGACTAATGCAGAGTGCAGACATACACATCGATCAGTTACATTTGAATTCACTGTTGTCTTATCAGGAAAGGATGATTTCTAGGGATGCGCTGATATATTGGCCAAAAATTGCACTTTTGGCAAAATGTCGAAGTGCCATTTTTTTGGCTGATATAGTGGTGCATCCGCTCTCTCTCTACTTTCCGCTCTGCGCTGTTCTGTTTCCCAGCGGGGAGTAGAGCAACTGTCACAGGCGGCCGAGCGCTGCAGGAGGAGAGCGCTGTGAGTGGCCGACGTCTCTCTTCCCCTCCCCACCGCTCAGCCTCCTGTCACAGATGGGGAGAGCAGTGTGGGTGGAGAAAGGTTGCAGTGCTGTCACAGGAGGCTGAGCTCCACTCGCTCAGCCTCCTTTAACAGCGTGTCAGGAAGGCGAGCGAGTTACAAGCGATCAGTGATCAGTGATCGCTGAGTGTTTGTAAATAATTGAGGACAGAGTATGTTTACTATATCCTCAATTATGAATGAATGGGAAGTGATCTACATCACCTCCTGTTTATTCTTGATTGTGGATACAGTACGCATACTATGTCCTCATGTTATGAAAGAACAGGAACACTCAGTATAGAGGATTCCTGTTCATTTATAACTGGGGCTGCAGAAAAAGAGACTCTGTGTCCTTAATCTCTTTTTTTTATTTTAAAAGGGAAATATCTGTTTAGACCCCTAATATTTCCCCAAAGCCCCTAAAAGTAAAGTAAAAAAAAAAAAATATTTAATAAACATGAATAAATAAATAAAAATAAAATATTAAAAAAATTTAAATGTTTATGAAAAATATATATAAAAATAAAATATTTGAAAAAGTTAGAAAAAAAACATTTCCTGTTTCGGCCTGACATTTTTTTTCATTTCGGTTTTGACATTTTTCACTTCAGTGCACCTCTAATGATTTCCTTTTGGATGTTTTGGATTAGGCTGCTCATAGATGGGCAGATCTGTCACTGAAATGTTTGGAAGTATGAGAGCTGCTGTAATTGCAGTGATAAAGCATCAGAGGAATCCACCACAGTTTTTCCTAGCTAGCCAACCGGGCTGGCATTTGCTTGCAGCATTCTCCCAGTGATAGGATTGTTTCCATTTCTGTACAGAAATTTGTAGGACCTCTGCAGCAGTTAATGGGAACTTGTGATGCTTCCAAAGTTGTGATTGAACATTCCTCCAATGTTAACTCCTGCTCTGTCTAGCTATCAAATCCTTTCGGACAATAGGCCACCTTGGACGCGCCTCACAGTTTTTTACAGGACTTTGAATGTCGCAATTGCTCTTTGCATTGGGCAGTTGCAAATAGCTGACTTGTTTTGCTCAGCTACAGTACCCAGTAAAAACTAAGCATATGAAAGAAAAGAGTCATGTGAGTGCAATTTAAACTGCATAACTTATTTAGCCCTCTGCAAAGAAAGGGAATTGGTTAATATAATCAACGAGTTTCTACTATTACGTGTGGCTGCAGAAATCATGTTTCACTTGCCTGATATAAAATGCATATTAAAAGGTGTAATTTGGTTGCTGGGCATTACTGCATTGCATTCCTGCTTACAAAATTCTAGCATCTCATGTCAATCAACACAGAAGTAATATTTTAGTTGTAGGTGCAGCCTGGTGGGCTGTGTCAACCGAAAGAAGATTTACAGATTCCCCAGAGAAACCTATTTGGTCATGCGTTTGTGAACCGTGATTACAAATACCACCGCAATGAATCGCCCTCAGTCTGTATAAGGCATATACAGAAAAAAGGAACCCTGTGCATCAGAACTCCATCAGTCACCTCTTCTTGCTGACAGATTCAAAACAAAAGTCCCTTTTTATTTTTTAATCCTATTAAGTTCCCATTATGAAATGTATCAACGTGTTACACTATTGGGCTATCTATTTCTTTTTTCTTTATATCTCTTAGGTGTTCACCTATTCTTACCTGTAGCTGGCATTTTTGTTTTCCCTATATATAGTTTTTTACAGCGACACTCTAATTGATAAATTACTCTGCTTGTTGCACAGTTAATAAATTGTGTTATCTCATATGTTTTTTGGCCATCACTGGTACAGAAATTCTTAAAATCTTTTCTACGAATGGACATATTAAATATACAGGTGCTATTATATTATCAATAAACAATTCTATATTCTTTTTGAGCATGGTCTGAAGTAACTTCTTTGCCGTATGCCTTATCTTATGTACAGGGGTCCTTTTTTTTCTGTATGGGCTGTGTCAACCCCTCACTTCCTAATCGTCTTGTATACTCCCAACAGTTTTTACAAAGATCTTAACTGCTAATCTTGCATGTTCTAGCACCTTCTGCATCAGGGGAGTGTGACCTCCTCCTAGTGGTCACAGCAGTTGTACAGACCAAATTACTCAGAACAGTGGCCCAGAATATAAGAAATTGTCAGAGAGTCTAAAGCCCAATTCCATCCTAAAAAATATATATTTTACTCAGACTCTGCACTCTGTGATCCAGCATCAGTCCTCTCCCAGGTTGAATACCACACAGCCTCATTCAACCCACTTATCGGGGGGTAGTCATCATTCCGCCCTGGACTCCCCAAAAAAAGCCCAAGGATAACTGCACAGACATCATTAAATGTTGTGTGTATATCATTTTTTTTTTTTTTAAGATGGAGGGATGGCAGTCCCAGAAAAACTGCAGTTGGGCATTTACTCTTCATCCTCTCCTAAAAAAAATTAAAGAGAAAGCTCCCCAAGAGGACTTAAGGCAGAATCTACAAACTTTCCATGTATATACACTACTGCATATTAATTTATTTGCTCTGTTTTTAATTTGCAGGAAGAAAACAAGATTCTCTTTTACCATCCAAATGACGTAGAAAAGAATGAAAAAATAAAAAATGTTGGTTTATGTGAAGCTATCGTGCAGTTTACCAGGTACTTGATGCGTATACACGTGTATTGTTGCACTTGTCTATATATAGTCATTTCAGAGACACATTTTATCTGGTGAAATGGGTGCTTTCCTGCCAGCACTTCTAGACAATTTGTCCAGTTTATTATCTTTTACAGGTCACCTGTACCTAGAGAAATATGTAAAAAAGTAGACTAGAAAATCTCAAATGTTCCACTGTATTAAGAGGGGTAATGCCTGCATCCAACACAAATGCAAAGTAGGGGGTAATCTTTGAAAATGACTGTTTAAAATATGTTTGGGAAATGTTTGTTTATTTTGGATATACAGGAATGCAAAGTGTTTTGGGTATTTGCATCCCCTTCTTCTGGGTTAGCAATTAACACATTATATTAACATTTAGTCCAATGGGTTGTTACTCTTTCCTGTACCACACTGGTCTGACCATATAATGTTTTTATTTCTAGCCCTGAAGAAGGGGAAGCAGATACCTTAAATTTGTTCTTTTCTTGTATACCTTCAGTAACCCTAGTCAGTTGTTATTAAGGTTTAGTGCCTACTTTGTGTTTGTGTTGGCTGCAGTCATTATTCCCCTAAATAGTGTAGTACTTGTGACATCCTTCTCTGTTTGTTCACAAAACACATGAAGTCCCAGGACCTCTGTTATTGATTGACTAGCCTGTAACTTTTTTTCTCAGACTGTGTCTCAGCCTGCTCCTTTTATTTGAGTGTTTTCTTGCCTACAAAGAAATATGGAGGCCACCATCGCTAGGAACCTATTCATTCACCCTATTCATATATATGCCAGGGTGACTGCCCTGGCATATATACTTCCCTAGTCTCTGACCTTGAATAAGAATGCAAATTAGGAGTTCTGCCTTTACGGTTTCTGTTTGCTTTCCTAGGTCAAACAACTAAAAATGTATTGAAGTCATAGGATTTGCACAATTCTAGATAAATGAGGAGGGGGTAGGCACTAGGGGGCTCTGTGCCAGATTTCACCCAGATCAACTAGGGGCATTTGTGGCCTTTAAATATCCAACAACTAAGTTTTTTTTATGTTTTTTCTTTTATTTGGAGATCACCAATTTAATTGATTTAAATAAGAATCCTCACTGAACTAATGACGGTGGCATAGAAAAAAAAAATTAAAAACTGTTCCTGTGTTACACTTGCAGAGTGTTAAGGAAAAAAATCTCTAATCTGATCAAACAGAAGATATGAAATTATGGGAATAAAAAGCACATGTGAGAGACTCGCCATATCTGGCAGCAGTTCTTAGTAGCTGATTCAGGCAGGCTTTTACAACTCGTACAAAACCAGCAAAGAAATTTAAAGTATTTTAAAACTGTTTTTGATCTGAGACTCTTAATGGAGATGTCCCTTTACTTCTTGTCTTGGAGAAACATCAGGAAGTGAGAGAAAGTTTCTTCAAAGTAAGGGGATCACTGGAACAAGTATCCCAGTTGGCAATGTCTCTTTTATTCCTTTACTGGTGACTTAAAATGTTGGATTTTCCTTCACTTTCAGTCCTGATGACAATGGTCAGTGGACAAATGGAGCGAATCTCCCTCACTGGGACACGGAGAGCAATAAAAACCTGGCAGTGTTTCTAACCCCTCACCACTCTTATTTAAAACTGTGAAAAATCTGGCTGTGTATACACTTTAAAGTGATACTCCAGGCAAACCCGCAAATATACAATCTAAAGGATTCATATTTTTTTGCAGCCAATGCTGTGGCTCACCCAAACTACACTACATAACCAGGAGGCCAACAGTGCTATTTAAAGTTACAGCTTTGTGGTTCCTTTGTCTGCTGCTTTCTTACTGGACAATTAATAAATATGTTCATCTGGAACAGGAATTTACTATCATGAGCTCTTTTGTTTCTTATTTAGGACCTTTAACCAATCAAAACCAGCAAAGTCATTACACACGCAGAAGAATAGACAGTTTTTTCATGAATCTGAAGAAGGATTTTGGATGGTTATGGTATGACTTTAAAAACTTTTTGAACCCACGTAGCCTGTTAAAAAGGTCACTCCTCCCAAAAGTAATTATAAATGGAGCCTGGTTGGCTGTGTCCCTGACTTTTATATTTGATGTATACTCTAACATTGATATCTCATTACTGTAATTCCTGACTCTTTTGTCCACTTGTGACTTTTGGGTGTTTCCATCCAATGTTGTGTGTTTTTGTCCTCTTGCTTTCTATGTAATATAAATAAAACATCTAACACAGGGAATTGGGAAGCCTTCATAATGGCCATAGCACGGGTAAAGACCCAGCAAGTCAAGCACTAGGATCTTACCAATAGACTCTATGAGAAATATAGAAAACTGTTGGGTGATTTAGCTCTCCAGCATCTACCAAACTGAAATATCACTTTTGGATGGACTGACCCTTCAAATTCAATAATTAGGAATCTCTCGTGCTCGGCTGTTAATCTATAAGGTATTGGTTTGATAGCAGTTATAGTACATAAAAAAATAGTTTGATCACCGAATATGATGACTGACACGTTACACTTTAATAAAATCTTCAGGTGGTGAAAAATCCAGTTTTAGAAAAACAAAAAGATGGCAAGACTGTTCTAGAGTACCAAGAAGACGAGTTACTGGTGAGTATATCATGGTATAGTTTCATAACTTGCTGAATGTAAATGTTACTTTTTTTAAATCTTACTCCATTAAATGGTAATTCACAAACTGGCATTCCCATTTAGTGCAAAGATATAGGTTTGCATTAATCCCCTACTTCTCCCCAGCATATACTTACCATTCCTTCCTTTGGTGTAGAAGAGCATGTGTCTCACTCCAAGTGACAACACTGTGTCAATTAGCGCTGTCACATGGGGAGTCAATAGCCCTTTTGCAAATTACGACTTTGGTGACCCATGGCGTACACAGGGCTTTCCTTCACTATCCCTGGCTGAATGGAGTGTGGAGGAGCCAAGATGAGGTAAGTTTATGCCTCTAGGGATAGATACATTAAAGTGAACTTGTTGCTTTGCTCTGCATGCGCAAAGCATAGGTTTTTATAAGGTGGCCATACATGGCTTGATTGTGCACCAATTTAGAGACCTCAGGAGACCACTGTTGACTACAGTTGAGATGACTAGGTCTTTTCCCAGAGGCCCCTATTATAACCGTATAATAGTACTGCTCTTCACACTCCACAAAAGGGGGACAGAAGACGGCAGCACCTCCAGTGTCCAAAATACCTCTAAAGTAGGTGACAATGTTAAAGGAGAACTATGGGGTTAAGGCTTTTCCCCATAGTTCTCCTTAGGGTAACCGGAGGACACAAACTAGCGTCCTCCCGTCACCCTAGGCACAGTATACCGCGAGCTGTAGCTCACGGTATACTGAGAAGCCGCAGTATACCGCGAGCTGCTGCTCGCGGTATGCTGAGACGCCGCAGCTGAAGCGGATCCCGACAATTGTGCCGGGATCCGCCCAGCTGCGTGACTGACAGCTGGCTCTGCCTATCTAGAGGCAGAGCCAGCTGTACCCGCCCCCTCCCCCGTCCGTTCCGCCGGTCAGCGCTGAATGGAAAAAAATTAAGGAGTAAACCTACAGAGTTTAATGAAGAACAGATAGTGATATCCGCTCTCCATTTTAAATGAACCCCTCTGTCTGAATCATTTTTTCTGGTATTTGTACCTGTGTGTAGAGACATTTTGATCATTTGACATGCTGATTCATGCTGTCAACTTACCTACAGACAGGGGTGTGGAATTCCTATCTTCCCGGCACTGGGCTGGTAGTTTTTTTTTTCTACATTTAGCCCTGCTTCGGGGAAGACACTGCACGTTTTATACAAGTGATCTGATCAGATCACTTGTACCAGCCTGATTGTCTGTCCTCTCCCTCCCTGCCATGGTTTTCAGGGTCCTCTGGGGGACCCGGGACCATAGCAAATGAGCTCAAGATGGAGAGAACATCTGTTCTCCTCCCCTCTGTGATCAGTGAGACCGGAGCGCTGTAATCACAGCGGCACCTGTCTCAGCTGTCAGGAGGGCAGGTTCTATAAAGAGAACCTGTCGCCTCTAAACTATCACAGGGGCTTGTAATCCCCAGTGTGATGGCAATACAGTTAAGGGGAAAAAATAAGTAAAACATAATAATAAAAGTGGTAAAGTAAACATAATAAAATAAATTAAAATCAACCCTGCCACCCTCACCATCTGCATGCAAATAAACGCACACTTAGGACATTGTGTGTATGTGTTGAGTGCTGTACCCATTCCACTGTGGGCCATATTGTGTTAGCCAGGCAGCAGAACTCTCCCACACGCACAATGTGCATTAAAGGGTAAGTTCACTTTTCCAGGTAATTTGGGTAAATGGAATTACCTGCCTAGATCTGGCACCCCTCCCCCCCTGCCATACAGTCCTTTCCCTCTGCCAGCACGGGTGTACAGTCTGTACCCCGTACTGCTGTCCAGTGCAGCCCTGCGCTATGCATTTTTAATTTCGCTCGCAAAAAAACAGGTGACCACGCTGACCGATGAGAAGTGCTTCTTAGCACGGTTAAATATGGTTTTGAATAAAACTATTTTTTTTCTATCAGGACAAATGGGTTGGGCCCCCGCTTTAGGCCTTGGCAAAGTAGTTTTCTTTTACATTTCCACAGGGCAGATACATGTATTTATGACCTTTGGACTCTTGTTGCTGCATACCGAGATTTTCCAGCTTATAAGTTAAACAACGGGAAACTGAACAGGGAATAATGTAATTGCATTTATTCTTAGTTAGACGTCTGCCCAGCCCGATTGGCTTCCTGTTTTCAAGACTGAGAACCAGTTAATGAGATTATTTAATTTATTAAGAAGTCGGAGCATTACAGAGAAACACTGGCGGGGTTATTCACTAAAGGGTGAAGAGTTTGGAGAAGGCAGGAGAAGTGAACAATCTAGGACAACATAGCTGAACCGGAAAGTGAGCTGAATTGGAGACTTTTTCCCTATCAGCTATGTTGTCCTAGATTGTTCACTTCTCTGGCCTTCTCCAAACTCTTCACACTTTTGTGACTAACCCTGTAAGTTTTCCAGGTAGTGCGCCTTTTTTTAGATCAGTAGGGCTATACCCAATAGCATTGTGGTCCCTTGTTTCCAGTGAAGATCTGCCAGCGTATTGAGGCCTCTATATATTGATTATGCACTCTATATATACAGTAGGTTGAACATGGTTAAGATTTCAGTAGAGGTTTTATGTTCTGCCATACATTTAGGGTTCTGTTTATAAAATATTTGCATAGCTTATTCGTCCAGTGAAACTGCAGGTACATTTGTTCTTTGTGATTTAACCAGCTGTTGTTAAAATGGGGCAAAAATTTATGTTCTTTGAGTATTTTCCCTTCTGGTCGAATGCTCTTCAATAGGGTCATACAGAACACAGTAAATCAGGAAAATGCCACATTATGGCCACTAGATGGAGTTAAGAATTATAGAAAAAGACATGTTAGTATCCAGGGATGAGATCAGGTTCGGAGTGAACCTGAGATCCTCTGAACCTGAAAGGAGCCCCTCCCAAACACAGAAGGAAGCTTCTTCCATGCCACTCAATCATCTGCTCTTGGGGAGATCCCTGCCCGCAGCCAAATGTAAGCAAGGGGACAGGATGCAGTGACATCATTGACCTTATTTGGCTACATGCCAATATTTGGTAAATTACATTTGGCTATGTGGCCATATTAGATAAATTATGTGAGCACAAGCACCATGCCCCTTTGTTTCCATGCAGCTGCGGACAGGTAATGCCCACACTGCAGCTGATTGGGTGTAAGGGCGCATGGCACTTCCTTGTTTAAAGGAGCTCTTGTTTTGACTGGGTTGGATCCGAACCTGAGCTCATCTATGTTAGTAACAAGATCTAATGTTACATTTCTAAAGACTGCTGGGGAGAATGAGCATATAAATATAACCATTGCTGCTACGTAATATGCAATGGTCGTGAAACAAAATGACTGTGCTAATATTTAACTGCATGATGCATTTGTACACTTATCATTTGAGTTTCGGTTTTTTTCTCTTTGTTGAAAACATATCCCTCAGTATTGTATATGAAAGATCACATGATCAGCACATCTTCAGTTAACCACGCCCTGCTAAAGACACTTTTGATGGTGTCCTTATGTGTCCCCAGGAAACATGTTGAAAATATGTTTCTGTGTGTAGCAGCTTCTTCATATGAGTAGCTCTGAACTAGAAAAAAGAATTCTCCGCTTTTGCGATATAATTGAAGCTTTCATTGCTTTCTGATGTGTGATCGGTGCTAGCAGGCAGCGTGATGTAGGGAAAGCGCTGTGCATAGACACAACATACCTTTGGGCTATCTAAACAGTCACAACATGTATCATCTGTGCCAAGTCCTGACTCGTAGAGAAACACATAATCAAAATAAAGCTTTCTAATGTGCCTACATTTTGAAATAAAGGTTTGACAGTTATTAAAAGTATATTAAAGGAGAACTATGAGGTGAGTGAAAATCACTCAGCCTCATAGTTCGAGCCGACGTGTGACAATGAAACTGTCACACGTCGGCTCAATAGATCGGGAAGTGGGCGAACACATACCGTCGCTCGCTCACTTCTCAATCCTGTCCCTGCAGAGAGCCGTGACTGTCACACACGGCTCCGTGCAGGGATTCCACCCTCCCTGCTCCGATCCTCCAGCACTGACTGGCAGAACGGACGGGGGAGGGGGCGATACAGCTGGCTCTGCCTCTAGATAGGCAGAGCCAGCTGTCAATCACGCAGCTGGTTGGATCTTAAGATCCACCCAGTAATGTCGGGATCCGTCCAGCTGCGGCGGTCTCAGTATACCGCGAGCTGTAGCTCGCGGTCTACAGAGCTTTGGGTCAGGGGAGAACGCTAGTTTATGTCCTCGCATGACCCTGAGGAGAACTATGGGGAAAAACACTTACCCCATAGTTCTCCTTCAATAACTCAGAGATAAAGGCGGCTGTGGGCTGAAACAGGTGCAAAGAATGAATATCTGGATAAAAAGCACTGACCCCATAGTTCCCCTTTTAATCTTGTCACCAAAATTATATATTTGAGGTGGAGTTTTCTGTATGCTTTTAAATTATGAATTAAAGTATACCTGTCAGGAGGAAAAATATGGAGGCTGCTATCAAAGATCTACTGAAAATACTAGTTGCTTGGCTGTCTCAGTTTAAAGAGTAACTCCACCTTTCTATGTTTCATTTTACTCCCATATTTAGGGTGTTGCTTGAAACATGGTCACATCCTCAGCTCCCGAAACACCCCACCTTACCTTTACCCTAATCCCGTTTTTTTTTTCTCTGCAGCATCCGGGCTTCTTTTGAATTCAGTGCAGCTGTGGTTGCACACGTCATCTATTCACAGCTCCTTTTATAGGATCAGTAAATGGAGAGACACGTCCTGTCTGTCACCTGTCTGAGGGAACCGTAGTTCTCATTGGCGTGTGGTGACATCTCCGCACATGTAATCCATTGACATTCCCTCCCATCCTGTAACTTGGGATGGACAGGGACTGGGAGGAAGGATCTGCAGAACCCAGAGCATTGCATCCCGGTTCACTAATCGCGGTTGCAATGCTTTGCAGGCTACAGTGCAAAAAAACAAATAAATGCACATTTTTCTTTTATGAATGTGTATACATTTATGTATTTATTTTGCAAAAGGTGACCTGTGCTTTTAAAGAAGGACTTCGGGTAAGGACTTCTTTTGGAATCAGTGCAGCTGTTGTTGCACACGTCATCTATTTACAGCTCCTTTTACAGGATCAGTAAATGGAGAGACAGGTCCGGTCTGTCACCTGTCTGTGGGAATCTTAGTTCTCATTGGAGTGTGGTGACATCTCCGCACATGTAATTCATTGACATACTCTACCATCCTGTAACTTGGGATGGACAGGGACTGGGAGAAAGGATCTGCAGAAGCCAGAGCATTGCATCCCGGTTCACTAATCACGGTTGCAATGCTTTGCAGGCTCCAGTACAAAAAAACAAATAAATGCACATTTTTCTTTTATTAATGTGTATACATTTATGTATTTATTTTGCAAAAGGTGACCTGTGCTTTTAAAGAAGGACTTCGGGAAAAAATTTTTATTAACCCTTGCAGTGGGGCTACCCCTAAAGTGCAAGGGTTAAATGCTGATATTTGCTCAGTGTCAAAAACAAAAAAAAGTTATACTCACCCGATCCTCCGAGCTGGCTTGATCTTAGCACTCAGTGTATAGAATGTGAGGATGCTGAGGCACATACCATCGCTGCAGCGGAGAAGGAGACAGGCAGAAGTGAGCACTGTCACAGCCAGCCAGCTCGCAGGATCGGGCGAGTATAACTTTGTTATTTATGACCCTATGCAAAAACAAGCACTTAATCCTAGCAGTGCGGGGGTAGCCTCACTGCAAGGGTTAAGCACTTGTTTTTGCTAGGGTCAAAAATTAATACATTTTTTTACCCGGAGTTCTTTAAAACATTTAGGCCCCGTTCACACCTTTACGTTTTGTCGCGCGTTCAACGCTCTATGAACGCTCAACAAAACGTACAAACATGAAAATCCCATTGTTTTCTATGGGTCTGGTTCACACCTTTTCCGTATTTCCGCCCGTCTGAAACGCCCTACAAAACGGCCTACACCCAAACAATACATGTACTTCTTTGGGCCGTTTTGTAGGGCGTTTTACATTGGGATACAGCCAAGTAGCCCTCGGAATCGTGCGACGGTCGCGCATATTTAATACGCCTAGGTGTGAACCCAGCCTTAAGCCACTGACTGGAACTGGAACAAGCATGCAGCAAAGACAACTCAGAAAAGGCAGAATTCTTTTATTACTGATTTGTTCTGGGCTTGACTCTTGACTATTGAAAACAAAGCATCAGCATGAAAGCTGGGTAACTTCAGGACGTCATCAGTGGTAGCCTACATGCTTTTCTTATGACAAGCTTCCTTTAGGAACACATTGTCCATTTAAATGTAATTACTTTAATCCTCTTAGTAAGATTTATGACTTTATTATTGTTTTCTCCTACAGGACAAAGTGTATTCCTCAGTTCTCCAGCAATGCTACAAAATGTATAAGGTATGAGATCTTAAAACTTTATTACTGCTCCTAGCCAAATAATTTACCAGACAACTAACATCTTATTTATACACTTTGCCTGCCATTTGCTTAAAATCTGCATATGTAACACTTGCCTTAGTTAGGATTAAATGGCTTTTAGAGGATTTTCAAATAGATACCATATATAAAAATTAGAGGTGCACCGAAATGAATATTTCAGAACCGAAATGAAAAAAAGTCATGCCGAAATCGAAAATGTTTTTTATTCTAACTTTTTTAAATATTGTATTTCTATGTATTTTTTATAAACTTTGTCATTTTTTTTATATTTTATTTTTAGTTATAATTTTTATTAAATATTTTTATTTTTTGCTTTACTTTTATGGGCTTTGGGAAAATATTACTCTAAACAGACCCCTGATATTTCCCTTTTTAAAATAGAAAAAGAGATTGAGAACACAGAGTCGTCAATCTCTTTTTCTGCAGCCCCTGTTATCAATGAACAGGAATCCTCTATACTGAGTGTCGCTGTTCATTCGTAAATTGTGGACAGAGTATGTTTACTATAACCACAATCATGAATGAACAGGAAGTTATGTAGATCACTTCCCATTTATTCATAATTGAGGACAGAGTAAACATACTCTGTCCTCAATTATTTACAAACACTCAGCGATCACTGATCCTTGAGTGTTTGTTAGTATCCGCTCTTCATCCTGACACTCATTCCATCCATTGCTGTCACAGGAGGCTGGGCGGGGCGGTGCGTGAGGAGAGCTCAGCCTCCTGTGACAGCAATAACAGCTGTCTCTGCCCGCACCGTCGCTCTCCATTCTGACATGCTGTTGCAGGAGTCTGAGCAGGGCGGTGTGGGAGGAGAGCTCAGCCTCCTGTGACAGCAATGGCTGTCTCTGCCCACACCCCTGTTCTCCTGATCTGTGACGGTGCAGGGAGGAGAGACAACGGCTGCTCAAAGCGCTCTCCTCCCGCACCGCTCGGGCTCCTGGGACAGTTTCTCTGCTCCCCGCTGGGACGGTTTCTCTCCTCCCCGCTGGGACACAGTGCAGCTCCCTGCGGGGAGGAGAAAAATCATGGATGCACCGCTATTTCGGCAAACAAATGTCACTTTTGGCATTTTGCCAAAAGTGCCATTTTCGGGCGATATGTTTTGGTGGCCAATATATCGGTGCATCCCTAATAAAAATTTCATCAATGTCCTGTAAACCTAGGTGATGGAGCATAGTTGCTGATTGTCCTTGGTATTGTCTTGGCATCTTGTACACCAGGCTGCCCCACTAAATCAGTAGCAGGTGTTGCCGATATTAGATATATTTTACAGTTTCACAACTGCAGGATAGGGCTACAGTTTGCTGATAGAAAACAAGTCTTGCATTGCATGATCGTGTGTGAGAATATATTTGGTATGCTTTTTTATATTATTTGAATGCCTCAACCTTTTATGCTTATGTTTTTATCTGGATATTTAACAGCAATTATTTTTTTTTATGTGTGCCTTTACAGATGAGGTAATATGAACATTTATTTCCTTTCCCTGTACAGCTATTTAATGGAACCTTTAACAAAGCAATGGAAACTGGTGGAGTAATACTGCTAAAAGATAGACTGGAGAAATTCTTTCATCGGGTGAATATTTCAATATGTATTTCTGTCACTAATTCAGGTAGTAATGGGTGTGTTGTAATAATCTAAAGATAACCTGTACATGCCGAATATATGGCAAAGTAACGGGTTCACTTTACTGTCAGGATTCTTACCTTTTTTTAAAACTTCTATTCTGTTCCCTACCATTCTGATCTGCTGACAGAGGACTGTCAGATCAATTCTGCTTTAATCAAATCAATGGGCTGTGCATGCTCTCCCGTACACCCAGGGCTGGCCTTAGGCCTTTAGGCGCCCTGTGCGAGAAAGCTTTACAGCGCCCCTCAGTGGCCACACCCCCAGTAACCACACCCATTTCCCCCAATATCCGCACCATTTAAAGACTCCTATTTTGTTAAGCCACAAACAAAAATATATAAAAAAAAATGATAAAAATAAAACTTTCATTCAAAGGTGTTAAACTTGGCACAATATAAGTATTCTTATTATATAAAACAACAGAAGGCAAACAATAAATGTCAAACTAAAATAGAGTCTATAAAAATAAAGTGTCAGGTTGTCATGCCGATCCCTTTTTTCAAGTAAGTATATCTAGAAAAGTAAAAATAAAAAACACAAAACCTAGACTACTTGTAAATTAATTAATTAATTACTATTTGCCCGAATATACGAAAAATGTATTCAGGCACATAATAATTTGTTTGAGTGTGCGGCGGCCATGTTGGCCATCGGCGTGATCTGTGAATGCGTGCCACCATCTTGGAGGCGGGGAGCATGACGTTACATGACGCCATGCATGCGTGGCGTCAGGTGACGTCACACGCCGATATAGGTGCTGCCATCTTGGTGTATACCTAGATATACACCAAAATGGCGGCGCCCAACACGTGCGGTGTTATATGACGTCATGCACCCTGTCTGCAGAACACGCCAATGGCTGAATCCAAAATCTAAAAATTTGTTTTGTTTGATGAAACGAATGAAACGTTTTTAGTTTTCGTTTATTTCATGTGAAATTAATTTTTAGTCTTCGCACATGTCTAATAATATG